TCTTGCAACCGTTCTTATAATTCAGATGAAGCATTTAGGGAAAGTTTTGCGTTGTTTTGTCTGTGAGTGTGTGGTCCTGAAGCATGTTAAGTTTCGTAATAATTCCTGGATTTTTTGTAAAGCTGTGGCAGTTTTACTCACCATCTTTTTTTGCACCATCTCTATAAATATGAACACAATGGAAAAAAGCAAAGACTGTCTTACTAGTTTTATGAAAATGATTTGGCTGCATGGACTCCAAGAAAGATACCAGATACCCTGTGGATCCACTGATATCTCTTTAAGGTGGTCTAGGATTTAAGGTTCTCTGATGAAGATGTGGGAAGGCGTCATATTACCTTCTCTGCTTTTTGGAAAGTTAAAAGAAAAGGCACTTCAAAATTCTCCTGCATTAAAGAAAGAGAGAGGGGTTCTTAATTAAAATACTTGAGCTTTAATCATTTAAAATTTTTAATTTTATTTTTAGTGTATGGTTAAGTTTGAGTTGCTCTTTCAGTTTCCCTGGCACTGGTATTTGATAATCAAAAATGTTTGTTTTTTTCCCCTTGCCTGTAATGTCAGCCATTTGACAGATCCCCAACAACCAAATTAGAGAGAATAAATTCATTCCCCCTTCCAAAGCTCTCAGCAATATAGTTAAAGGTAATGTATTTTGGCTTAAAGAATTGATAACTCTGGAACAGGCCTTATTTCATGTCTTGAAGTATTCTGTAGATAGCAGTGACAACTGGATAAATTAATCCAACTCATGTTTTAGTTAGCGAGGTAGTATTTTTTCCCTTAAATCATCCAAAGGGCACTTTAGTTTAAAGGACTATTTAAAATGTGTTTGTTTCATCGCTCTCATTTCTTAGACAGACTTTTTCTGCAATCACAGATGTTCATCTGAGTCTGGGTTTGTTCTCAGTGTTGCTTTTCCTAAACTATTTACACAGTGTATTTGTTAAGTCCATGTATTCTTTCTAATCATAGTTTACATAGCTATAAAAATGATGGAAAAGATTTTAATAATTCACCGAATGGGCCATGGTTTCAACTCTGTTTTTAGATTGTGGCTTATATGATGTTTACAGAGTGATCTTCAAGAACATATAATGTTGCAGAAAAAAGGCAAAACATAATGAGTTATAAACAAGAGGAAACTTTTAAGAAAAACAAATGGCTTATCAGGTACTTAATAGGGAAGACAAGATTAAGCCAACAGACAACTGAGGCTCAGAGATGATCTCGAGATAAATATTGCTCTTGGGACTTAAGAAAGGGAAATTTTGTTATAAGATTATTTTTTATTATCAAATAATTTAAATTTACACACTATTAAAGAGAATAGAATAGCAAACATCCATATGCTCACCACATAAACTCAGAGTTGTTAAAATTTTCTTGTATATGCTGCTTTGTGCGTGTGTTGAAAGTATTTAAAATGAAATTATAGACATCAGGACATTTTAATATTTAATGATGTTTGTATCTCTAAAAGAAAAAGACCTAGAGATACAAATTATATGGTGATAGGAAAATCTAAACGCCCTAGAGGACCTGCTAGAAGGCCTTGGTTTTACAGACTGGATTGTGTAAGTTCTAGGTTTTAGCAAAATAGCTTGGGGTTACGCAAAAAGATATTTTTAAAAGAAATTGTTTAGGGGACTTATAGGAGAAAGAGCATTGATCTGAAGGCAAAGGTGTGGTTGTTGTTGTTGTTGTGGTTGTGGTATCATAGAGTCAGTTCCAACTCACAGTGACCCTGTATACGGTTTCCAAGGTTATATTTTGGCTCTTGTAGACTTGTTTTGATTTTCTTCAGCTTCAGACTGAACTTGCATTTGATCAATTGATGGTCTGTTCCACAGTTTGCCCCGGCCTTATTTCTGCTAATGATAATGGAGTTTTCCAACCATCTCTTTCCACAGATGTAGTCAGTTTGATTTCTTTGTATTCCATCAAGTGAGGTCCATGTGTATAGTCATCTTTTATGTTGTTTTAAAAAAGATATTTGCAATGAAGAAGTCATTTGTCTTGCAGAATTCTACCTTGCAACCCCAGCTTCATTTCTAC